CAATCGTTCTAAGGAAAGGTCTATCAAGAATAATAGGACATGAAAGGTTGCAATCTATATCAAGAACAATGAAATCTATGGGCACATAATTCCTATTTGCAACAATAAGAAAATCATTAATCCTTCCCATAGGTTTCTTAATAGTGGAATCCGCAAGGTGCAAGTTTAAAGAGCAATCATCAAATTCACGGAAACTTGGCACATCACTAAAGTTTTTGGAATCATGGAAGCACTAGCACACAAATCACACAAAGCATAACATTCATGATATTTAATTTTAATTTTAGTAGTAGGTTCCCGCTCATCATAAAGTTTTCTAGGTATAGAAACTTCCAATTCAAGTTTTTCTTCATAAGATTGCATCAAAGCATCGACGATATGTTTGGTAAAACCGTTATTTTGACTATAAGTATGAGGAGAATTCAACACGGATTGCAACAAGGAAACACAATCTATTAAAGAACAATTATCATAATTAAATTCCTTGAAATCCATAATAGTGGGTTCAATGCTATGTAAAGTATTGACCTCTCCAATCCCACTTTTACCAAATTTAGCATCAAGATCTAAAAACTCTGAATCATTGGGACGCCTTTTAACTAAAGTTGACTCATCTCCAGCCCCATCATTATCAAATTCTGTCCACGTTCCTAGCCAATTTTTCTTCAAGCAAAGCATTGAAATTTTTTTGAGAGATCATAAATTCTTTAACACTATTCTCAAAATAAGAGGGCATCTTGTTAAAATTTCCATAAGAATTGTTGTAGGAATTACCATAATTATTTGAGGAATTACTAGGAAACAACCTAGGATTAAAGTTTGCTCTATACGCGTTGTTACCAAAATTATTCCTACCAACAAAATTCACATCCATAGATTCATTATTATTCTCAATCAAAGTAGACAAAGACATATCATTAGGATCAATAGGAGCACTCTTAGTAGCAAACAATTTCATAAGTTCATCCATCTTTCCACTCAAAACATTAATTTCTTCTATTGCATGAACCTTTTTACTAGTAGATCTTTCGGTGTGCCATTGAGAATAATTAACCATAATATTATCTAGGAGTTTAGTGGCTTCTCCTAAAGTGATTTCCATAAAAGTGCCTCCCGCGGCCGAATCTAAAAGATTTGTAGAAGCAAAATTCAATCCGGCATAAAAAATTTGTATGGTCATCCATAAATTCAAACCATGAGTAGGCCAATTGCGAATCAATAATTTCATTCTTTCCCAAGAGTGGGCAACATGCTCATGATCAAGTTGTTTAAAATTCATAATATAGTTTCTAAGAGAGGTGATCTTAGAGGGAGGAAAATACTTAGAGATAAAAGCATCGTTGCACTTGTTCCATGAATCAATACTATTTTTAGGCATAGATGAAAACCAAGTTTTAGCACGATCTCTAAGTGAAAATGGAAATAACTTCAATTTAACAATATCATTATCTGTATCTTTCTTCTTTTGCATATCACACAAATCAACAAAGTTGTTTAGATGAGTAGCGACATCTTCAATAGGAAGGCCAGAGAATTGAACTTTCATAACAAGATTCAACAAAGCAGCATTGATTTCACAAGATTCAGCATCATTAAGAGGAGCAATCAGAGTGCTAAGGAAATCATTATTATTGGTATTGGAAGAGACACACAATTTGGTATTATCTTGAGCCATCGTGACAAGCAATCCGACACACAAGCACACTAAAGGCAAGCGAAAAAGAGAGGCGAACGGGAAAGAGAAGGCGAATAAAACGGCAAGGGTGAAGTGGGGGGAGAGGAAAACGAGAGGTAAATGGCAAATAATGTAATGCGATGGAGATGAGTTTGTGATGGGTACTTGGTATGTCTTGACTTGAGCGAAGACCTCCCAGACAACGGTGCCAGAAATCCTTCTTGCTACCTCTTGAGCACTGTGTTGGTTTTCCCTCGAAGAGGAAAGGGTGATGCAGCAAAGTAGCGTAAGTATTTCCCTCAGTTTTTGAGAACCAAGTATCAATCCAGTAGGAGGCTCCTCAGAAGTCCCACGCACCGCACCTACACAAACAAACAAGAACCTCGCAACCAACGTGATAAAGGGGTTGTCAATCCCTTCACGGTAACTTGTGAAAGGGAGATCTGATAGAGATAATAAGATAAGATAAATATTTTTGGTATTTTTATGATATAGATTGGAAAATAAAAGATGCAAATAAAAGTAGATGAGAAACTTATATGATACAAGATAGACCCGGGGGCCATAGGTTTCACTACAGGCTTCTCTCAAGATAGCATAAGTATTATGGTGGGTGAACAAATTACTGTCAAGCAATTGATAGAAAAGCCCATAGTTATGAGATTATCTAGGCATGATCATGTATATAGGCATCACGTCCGTGACAAGTAGACCGACTCCTGCCTGCATCTACTACCATTACTCCACACATAGACCGACTCCTGCCTGCATCTAGAGTATTAAGTTCATAAAGAGGGATAAACTCATGCAATATGATATAAGCCCCATCTTTTTATCCTCGATGGCAACAATAAAATACGTGCCTTGCTGCCCCTGCTGTCACTGGGAAAGGACACCAAAAGATTGAACCCAAAGCTAAGCACTTCTCCCATTGCAAGAAAGATCAATCTAGTAGGCCAAACCAGACTGATAATTCGAAGAGACTTGCAAAGATAACTAATCACGCATAAAAGAATTTAGAGGAGATTAAAATATTTCTTATAGATAAACTTGATCATAAACCCACAATTCATCGAATCTCGACAAACACACCGCAAAAAGAGTTACATCGAATAGATCTCCAAGAAGATCGAGGAGAACTTTATATTGAGATTCAAAGAGAGAGAAAAAGCCATCAAGCTAATAACTATGGACGCGAAGGTCTGTGGTAAAATACTCACAACTCATCGGAGAGGCCTTGGAGATGATGTAGAGGCCCTCCGTGGTCGATTCCCCCTCCGGCGGAGCGCCAGCAAAGGTTCCAAGATGGGATGTCGCGGATATAGAAGGTTGTGGCAGTGGAATTAGATTTTCATGGTGCTCCTGGATGTTTTCAGGGTACGTGGATATATATAGGAGGAAGAAGTAGGTCGAGTAGCAGCGCCGGGTGGCAGCTAGGTTCTGGTGGCGGACTCATGATGGCGTCGTCGTCGTATTGGGGACGGTCGGCGATACGGCTGGTGGGATTAATTGGGGGACCAGCCGATGCGGCCTTTATTTGCTTCGGCGTGAAATAGATTTGGTAGGATTTGATAAGGGATGTGCATATACGTTTGCGTGTTGGTTTCTATGTACGATTGTATAAGTTTCCTCGATCATTTTCTACTCCTTCCTTCCTGCAACTAACACCAGGTGGTTTCCTTGAGAGTTTTTCCCTACGTCTCACAACCTAGGGTTTTCATGTCTCCATCGAATTTGCTACTCCCTCCGTCCCATAATATAACATCATTTTTCAAATTATGTTAGCTTGAAAAAAGGTCTTATATTATGAGACTCATCGGGTTGGTAACGACTGTCCGATTCTGCAACATACAACCGTTAGATGGGGTCAAACCAAACATCATCTTTCTCTGTCGCAAACACAAAACGCTTTAGAGATTTCAATATGGACTACATAAGGAGCAAAATGAGTAAATCCTCATTCTAAAATATGTCTATATACATCCATATATGGTCTTCATTGAGATCTCTAAAAGGACTTATATTTTAAAATGGAGGGAGTACATGGGGAGGAGAGAGGGAGAGAAGGTTGATGGGGGAAGTATCAACATGAGGGGGGAAACAAACTCTCCACACTTGTAGGTGATCAACGATTAGGCGATGAAGGTACTTTTCCAATGATCACGTTGCATTGAATGTCATGCAATTCCTAGCCTTCCAAACACAACACAAGATTACAGCCACGATATCCTCGGAGAGATATTCCCCACGAATGTTTGAGAGACGAGAAAGCTCAATATACATCCTCAATACAGTATCAGCCCAACAAAAGGTGAGAGGTTGTTTCACAAGTGTGGGGGCAAAGAGGATAGTTGGAGCGGTCGAGGCAGCTGATGTGATGAAGGGGAGGCTGAGTTCTTGTCTTGCCACAAGAGGATCCACAAGAAGACCTTGACCAGAGACATGGAATTCTCCAAGTTGAGTTCATGGAGGGGCAGTCCACGTCCTATATACAGAATCATCTTGAACATAAATCACCGTGCTGCATTTTCTATTAGGACAATATAACAAAGGAATTTGAACTTGTCCATATGCCCATTATGAGCATTTCATCCGCCCATGTCCCGTTGTCGGAGCGGCTCCATCGACCTGAAAATATGGGCGAAACAAGTAGGCTTTATGGGCAGGGCAATGGGGTTGTGAACTGTGCCAAAAGCCCAATACAAGACGATACAGTATATATGAACGACCGGGATATCAGGCTCCGTGTAGCCCAACCTCCAAGCAGCATTTCTGCAAATAGCAGGTATTAGTTTATCCCACTCTATTATATCAAAAACGTCTTCCATTCATAATGAGACATAAATTTCATGTCTTTGCTGGAAACCACTAAATCTAATTTAGGAGGAACAGATACGCCTAAACGCATCCGAAGATTGGACTTGGCAAAGGTCAGAACCCTGGCAGGGTGCCACAAGCTGGTTTGCCAAATATAAAACGTGAAAATTTTCGAATAGCCCAAAAATCAACATTTCGAGATGCACCATATATATAATGCATTATCAAATATGCATGCATATATGCGGCAACTGAAAGAATTCGGAATCCACTTCAATTCAAAATGAAACTACCTGTGTCACACGGATTAACAGAAAATTGATCGAATATATCTTATTTTCCAAAAGCAAAATATGATTCAGCGAAGAAAGTGTACATCGAAAGCATATAAATATAGTAACGGCGATCTAGCTAGCTACTAGTAGAAGTATTGTAATATTACTCGCTAATATAGGCGGAAGTGAGAGACGTATAATACGTCGATTGGAAACACGTATACGTACGGGCATCATGGCAGTGCGCGCCTGAGCAGCCAAAACCACGCCGCTTTAAACCCTCGACGGCGGCGATTCGGCGGAGTGGTCTCGGACTTGGACGATACCCAGCTTGATGCGTGGCGCCGATTGCAGAGTTGGTCCTTGCAGCTGCAGGCTATTCCTGCCCTCTCAAGGTCACACGACTGCACGACCTCATCTCTCATCGCCCACACGCTGACGACGGTGACATCACACCGGACGGCGAAACAGTCGTCCACGAGGTACTCCGATCCTTCGAGCTCCGCCCTCGTGATCAATGGACTGGGCGGCGCACTACGATTGTCACCCCTACGACGAAAGGTCCACCGGAAGCTGCTGCTGCAGTGCGTCGTCGCAGGGTGAGGGACAAGAGTGAACAGGACTTGGGCACTGACGGGGCGGTCGAAGCTGTCGGCGCGGACGAGGGCGAGGCAGATGCGGTCGTCGTCGGCCGCGGATGTCCCGTTGGGGTACAACACGATGCACCAGGTGCAACCGCCCGCCTCGAACGTTTTGGATTCCAACGACGCGCCATCGATGAGCAATTTGGTGTGCGAGTACCCTTGGATTTTGAGGATGTGGGTATGGCACTTGGTCGCCGTGGTGGTGAAGGTGGAGGCGGAGACACCGTCCACATTGGTCGACATGGTGGCTAGGAGCAGATGGGGAACGCGGCTTCAGTTATTCGCAGTTCGATCGATCGATCGCCCCAAGTTTGTTATACGGTTGTTAGCAGATACTCCTTGTTAGGGATAAAGATGAAAAAAAACTAATATGTTGTATTATCGGTGCATGCCGCGTTCTACCCAAGTACGTATTTGCCTTCCGTGGAAACTGGATCTTCTGGCTACCATGCTAGAGCATTTCCAGCGGTTGGCCCCCCATGAGGCTTTAAAATCGCCGCCTGGGGACGAGCCGGCGCTAAAGTCGGCTCTGGGGGCGATTGGATTCCGAGCCGTCGCTCCCAAGCGCCAATATCGGCCCCCTTTTGGGCGAAAAATCGGCCTGATATCAGCGCAAATCGGCCCATATTCGCTGTGGTTCGGCGCGAATTCAACAAAAGTAATTTTTTATCCCATAGTTCATCACAGAAAATCAATAAAAATCAAATAGTTCAACAACAAATAGTTCAATACAAATTATATAGTTCAACAGATAAAAACTCATATTTCATCACACATCGAGCTAGGCGTTGCCCTTCAGCTTCCATAGGTGCTCCACCAGATCCTGTTGCAGTTGTTGATGCACCTGTGGGTCTCGGATCTCCTGACGCATATTGAGGAAAGCAGTCCAGGTTGCCGGTAGCTGGTGATCAACTTGCACGGGAAGACACTGTCTGTAATATGGTTCATTGTCAAACACTGGCTTTTCCTGCTCGCTCTCAATGATCATGTTGTACAAGATCACACAGGAAGTCATGAGCTCCCACATTTGATCTTTCGACCAGGTCTGAGCAGAGTACCGGACAACAGCAAATCGAGATTGGAGCACACCAAATGCTTGCTCGACATCCTTCCTGCAAGCCTCCTGAACCTTCGCAAAGTGGGACTTCTTGCCTCCTGGCACAACATTTGAGACAGTGTTCACAAATGTAGACCATCTCGGATAGATGCCATCAACTAGGTAGTATCCCTTGTTGTAGTGTCGTCCATTGACCTCAAAGTTCACCGGAGGAGAATGACCTTCAACAAGCTTGGCAAAGACATGAGAGCACTGCAGCACGTTTATGTCATTTTGAGTTCCTGGCATACCAAAGAAAGAGTGCCAAATCCAGAGGTCCTATGTGGCCACTGTTGGAAATATGCCCTAGAGGCAATAATAAATTAGTTATTATTATTATATTTCCTTGTTCATGATAATCGTTTATTATCCATGCTATAATTGTATTGATAGGAAACTCAAATACATGTGTGGATACATAGACAACACCATGTCCCTAGTAAGCCTCTAGTTGACTAGCATGTTGCTCAATAGATTGTTACAGTTTCCTGACCATGGACATTGGATGTCGTTGATAACGGGATCACATCATTAGGAGAATGATGTAATGGACAAGATCCAATCCTAAGCCTAGCACAAAGATCATGTAGTTCATATGCTAAAGCTTTTCTAATGTCAAGTATCATTTCCTTAGACCATGAGATTGTGCAACTCCCTGATACCGTAGGAATACTTTGGATGTACTAAACGTCACAACGTAACTGGGTGGCTATAAAGGTGCACTACGGGTATCTCCAAAAGTGTCTGTTGGGTTGGCACGAATCGAGACTGGGGATTTGTCACTGCGTGTGACGGAGAGGTATCTTTGGGCCCACTCAGTAGGACATCATCATAATGTGCACAATGTGACCAAAGGGTTGATCACGGGATGATGTGTTACGGAACGAGTAAAGAGACTTGCCAGTAACGAGATTGAACAAGGTATCGGCATACCGACGATCAAATCTCGGGCAAGTATAATACCGCTAGACAAAGGGAATTGTATACGGGATCGATTGAGTCCTTGACATCGTGATTCATCCGATGAGATTATCGTGGAACATGTGGGATCCAACATGGGTATCCAGATCCCGCTGTTGGTTATTGACCAGAGAACGTCTCGGTCATGTCTGCATGGTTCCCGAACCCGTAGGGTCTACACACTTAAGTTTCGATGGCGCTGGGGTTATAAAGAATAGATATACTTGGTTACCGAATGTTGTTCGGAGTCCCGGATGAGATCCCGGACGTCACGAGGAGTTCCGGAATGGTCCGGAGGTAAAGATTTATATATGGGAAGTCCTGTTTTGGTCACTGGAAAAGTTTCGGGTGTTATCGGTAATGTACGGGACCACCGGGAGGGTCCCGGGGGTCCACCAAGTGGGGCCACCGGCCCCAGAGGGCAGCATGGGCCAAGTGTGGGAGGGT